TATATATATATATATATGATTGTGTATCCACCCCTGAACTATGGGAATGGACATGGTTTTTCTTGTCCTCCATGCCATTGCTGCTAGTCAGTAGACAATATGAAATGTGAAGGGACAGAGCCCCAGTATGTGTCAGGCCTGTGGAGTGGAGAAGCTATGTGTTCTGACTCTTTGCCTTCCCCTTTCAGAGTGGCTACCAGACTGGTACTTACCTGGATGTGCACCCCAAATTCCACCAGGGCTACCCCATCACCGCAGCTGGCAACATCCAAACCATGCCTGCCCCCTGTCAGCACTATGGAGCAGGGCAGAATGCTTACACAATCGTGACCAGCGAGGATGGAGGAGTCTTTGGCAAAGGCGGGGGCACCTGCAGCGTCCAGCAGACGGTGGGCTTCATTGCCCAGCACAAAGTAGACTTTTACCACAGCTATCCTGGCAGTGTGGAATATCCAGGCTCAAAGACTGGTGATAGCTGTAATTTTCACCACTCAGCCACTATGGGGGCTCCTTTCCCAACCACTGCCGGCCATCATCTTTATCATTCCTAAGCACTGTGGATGTGGGGTACTTGGGCAGCCAGGAATCAAATCTTACTCTCATCTCTCCCTCTGTTATTTGTGTGCTGTCCACCTCAGGGACACCTTGTAGCTAGAACCAGTTTTGGCATCCAGATGTGTGCCTGCAGACACGCAGCCGTGCAGAGACCCGCTTGCCCAGGTACATGTGCACAGAGCCCTTCATTTCTGTGCCTGTACACGTGTGCACACACACACATTCCTTCCTTGATTGTCACAGACCAACCAAGCTCCCTTACAGCAAAGCCCAGGATCTGGCTACCCAGCTTATGCCCTGGATCTTCTTAATTATGGATCTTGAAACTTGGCTAAGGGGAAGCACAGATTCCTTTGGGGATCTCATTTCTGCGTATCACTGTACACTTGTGTGTACACAACACGTGAAGACAGGGGCTGTATGGAGCTGTGCTGGCCTTGTACCTTTAACTGAAGCTGGAGAAGTTATTGCCACCTGCCAGTTACCCATCTGAAGTGTAAACCATCAGTGTATCAAGCTATGAGGTGAAGTGATGAAGTGCCTAATGAAGGGAAATGTGACAAGTAGCTTGCAGAAAGGCTGGTAAGATGATCTTATAAGCCCTTCCTTCTAGTCTGTATCTTGCTGTGCCTCCCCTTGAGAAAATCTAACTGCATTCAATTTGGCAAATAAAAAAGAGTATTTTTTAAGATGCATTATGTATTTTTATATATCTCTTTTTTCCCATTGCAATAGAGCACTGCAATATAAAAAACAGGAACATAAATAGCCACACAACTGTATGCCATTGTTACTTGATGTTGAAACCATAAACAGAGATTTTTTCTGTGTTATTAGTAGATCAGCTTCATGGTTCTTGGTAATGTCAGGTATCTCGAGTCAAAGAAACAGGTGAGTAACTATTACCCACCTTAAGAATTTTTCCTATCCAGAAATACTGAATATGGGGACTGCCATGGGGGTACTATAATTTCTAAACTTAAAAAAAAAAAAAAAAAAAAAAAAAAGCATAAAATGAAGACAGTGATTTCTGTAAGTGGAGCAATAAGAGGCATGGTCTTCTTGGCAAAGCTGATTTATGTCCCTGTACCTTACAGCTGTTTGTTCCCTCTCCCACTCCCTCATGCAGACACTCTGACTCTACTGTAAACTCTATGGTGTGCTGACTTTGGCTGTGTTTGTTAATTTTCTTCACAGCATCTGGGATGGGTCTGTGTTTTGGATTTGTGCTGAGAATGGAGTTGATAATACAGAGATGTTTTCATTACTGCTGAGCAGGGCTTGCACAATCTCAAGTCCTTTTCTGCTTCTCGTTATCTCCCCGACAGCAAGAAGGCTGGGGGTGCACAAGGAGTTTGGAGGAGACACAGCTGGGGAACGCTGACCCCAACTGACCAAAAGGATATTCCATACCATATGGCATTGGGGTCAGAAAGAAAGTTGGGGTGAGGGGGAAGAGGGGGATATCCAGAGTCATGGAGTTTGTTTTTCTACACAGGATGAGGCTCTGCTATCCTGGAGGTGACCTGCCTATGGGAAGGGCTGAATTAATTCCTTGTTTTGCTTTGTTTGTGTGTACGGCTTTTGCTTTACCTATTAAGATGTTTTTATCTCAATCCACGAGTTTTCTCACTCTTCTGATTTTCTCCTCCATCCCATTGGTGGGGAGTGATCAAGTTGAGTGGCTGCATGGTGCTTATTTGCTGCCTGGCATTGAACCACAACACCTGGCCAGCATGATTCGGGGAAAGATAAGGCCTTTTGGATGGTGAGTCATAATCTTGGCACAACCCCCACCCTTCTCCTCTTTCAACCAGCGCCTAGCTAAGAAAGGGCAAGACTGTTCTTGAGACCATTAGAGGGGTGGGGAACAATTAAGTCAACTGAAAAGGTGCTGGCTAACATAGGAAGGTGAACAATAGCGGCGATTATCAGGGCTCTCACACCAGAATTAAGATATTTTTCAGTTCCTCTCAAGTCAACGGTTCTGTTAACTTACCTGAATATAAGCTAAAACCTTTCCCTGCCAACCCATCAAAAGCTGCTGTAGGTGAAAAAAACTGAGCTTGTAGCTGGTCCTCACTAATAATAACTCCTGGAAAAAGAGGCACATGACATGCCCTGCTCCTTCAGAGATGCTTTTGGACAGGCAGGATTTTGCTGTGGAGGCTCTGGGACTGGCTTGCAGAAAGCTGCTGTCTGCAAGAGCAACAGCTGTGATCTCCCTGCTATTTGACCTTCAGCAAAGCAGTGCTAACAAACACTAGCGAATACTTTTTCGTGTCTGTGGGTTTCCTCAGACACAATTTTTCAGAGGTCATCATTCAAAGACAGACCTCATTGCCACAGGCGATTATGGAGTTAAAAAGCCTGCAGCAATTCCAGCAGGCAAGTAAGCAGCTTCCGGGAAGGGAGATCACTGATGTCTGCTGTATCAGGAGCTGCATTCCCAAAGTCCTGTGTAAAAACAGCAGGAATGCAGCTTCTGTTGGAGGCCCTCAGCCCCAGCTAGCCAGAGGGACACTGGGGACTTGGTTTCTTTTCTGGTCTTTCTCTAGTATCTAAGCAGTGACTTAGTTGGATCTTGGGGCTCACCCAAAGCAGAAGTCCCAGTGCTGTAATTTGTAAAAAAATTAATGATTTAGACACTCTGCAGCTGCTAGGCAGCAGATCGACTTTTGTCAAATGTGAGAAACTAATTTTAGCCCGGTTTTGAAAGAGAGTCCCAGATAGGAGCTGAGGGCACTCTTCAAATCTTTGGACATCATGAAGATAACTTGGTAGGAAAAGACTTGGGAGTGTGGTTTCTTGGGTTTTTTGTTTTGGTTAGGATTGTTGTTGTTGGGTTGGTTTTTTTTAAGTTTCTTTTTCCTTTTATTTCAATGATAAAATGTAACGATTTAGAGTCATTCATGCCACATGACTATTCAGTATCAGCAAATATGCTGCTGCCCTCTGATGACGGGCCAGGCAAGAGAGACATGTGGCAGTGCTTGACTGAAAATTTCCAAAACCCTGTTAGCTCAGCCTTCGAGTCACATGGTGTAGTTAGATAACCAAATATGTTTACCTCCGCCTGTAGGGAAGAGCCTATTAAAGCAAAGATCATTACTTTTATCTGCACTGGAGAGACAACTGGGGCTGTGAGCCCTCGCTCATGGATCACTCAGGAGAAATGTGTAGCTTGTAAAACGCCTGCAGGTTACATTGGCATGGAGAGCAAGGAATGAGGTTCCTTGCACTGCTCTACCTGCTTGGTATTTTCCCTGTGGGACAGCTGGAACCCAGTGAGCTACAGAATAAAATCCTGGTCTACATAATCTGTACTGGACCAATGTCCTCTGTTTAGGTGGGGTTCTCAGCATCACTGAAACTACATCTGCAACTTTTTCATCACTGCAGATATTGTAAAGGAGGAGTGTATTCCCATTAGCTGTACCACATATGAAGAGCTCCAAATCATCTTACAGCTTGATCCGGAAAAGATAGGCTAGCAAGGCAAATCATGTTTGCAGTGAGCAGACAGAAGTTACTGTTACACAGCCCAGTCACAAAAAGCAGCAGTCCTAATAGAGGTGTAGTTAATCTCAGTGTAGCAGAAAGAACTTTACCCGTGCAGTTGTTTCACATGGCGATGCGATTCAGGCATGTGAAGGTAACAGAAGAGATCACCAGCTCTGTGGAAAGGCAGAGTCCAGGTTTTTAATTCCAAAGGCTCTAGAAACACTTCCTGAGCAACTAGGAGTCCTTTCCAGACTACCTTCCATAACTTGTGCAACTCCACATGTTCCCTCCAGCTACATGTGCTTGCCAAACCTGCGCACAGGTTTGCACACAACCCAGGCTGGGCAACCAGGGGAATTAACGCAGCCGTGAGGGAACACTCAAATTTTCACAGAACACTCCCCTGGTACATGGAGTAACACTAACCACAACATGAGAGCAATCATTCTCAGCTCCAGGGCTGTTTTAGCAACAATATCTGTTTCTGCAGAAGGACATCTGCCTGCACGAGTTCTGGCTATCTCCTTACCCTTACAGCAGAGACATGGAAACAAAATATAGCAAGTAGCACAGGTAAACTGCAGCAGGCTTCCTCTACAATTGTTCTGCAGACCTGTATACCTTACTTCTTAAAGACTGCATCTTAAAAGAACCCCAAAAACTCAGTCTGCTAAGTTTAAAAACTGAAAGACAAGGCATAGTATGTATGGCTTCTATAGATGATTTCTATAGTTCAGCTTTGTTTTTTTCAAGGCAATTTTTGAAATTAATACTATTGCTAGAGAAATACTCAGAATTCACACACACTGCTATTGGGATACAAATCTCCCATCCAGGTGAGAAAGGATCTCTTGTTCTGTAATACAGAAAAGCACATGGATTTGGCATTTCCCACTCTTTCAGGCCAGACCTGCCTTTTTCTGCTATTTTAAGGTTGGCAGCCCACCTTATTATGCAAGACTCATTTTGTCCTCTCTCCTTCCTGTACCTATTGTACATTGCCTCAAGAGCAGAAGATTGCAGAGGTGCAAATGGAAAGAGGGGGATAAGCTTTGCATCCACGGGAGCAGGTCAGCAAAGGACCTGTAGCAGTTTGAGCCTGAGCAGTCAGCTGCCAGTTTAGCTAATTGTGCTCAGTGGGAGTACCCTCGAATTAGTCCTTTTGGAGAGATGAAGGGATTGGGTGGGTGTAGTGTACTTACTTGGTTCTGGTTTTGTTTCAGTGCTGGAGGCAGGAGATGCAGTTACCGATTTGCAGACCTCTGTTGCCATTTGGAGCCAGCACAAGAATCCCAACAGAGCTGCATATTTAATTATGTGGGATTCCTGACATCCAGTTGTGACCTGCTGGAGCACCAGGAGGCCACACAATCTCATGGACACTTGCTTTTGCTCCATCCTTCTTCAATACTTCTTTTTGAAGCACTGCTATTTAAGGGCTAATATAAGCACGTTACAGGGCTGCACCTCACTTCAAGCCAGCAGCTTGTCCAGTTGTCTAGCCCTGGATCTTCCCTCACCCTCCTTGCACTAGGCTACAGACCTGCATAATAAAACCAGGCTGATAAAATAACCACTCATAGCCGGTTGTTCGAATGCAAGCTGGTGACATCGTCACAACATTTAAATAAGAGTAATTTATTTTCAATGCAAACAACTTTGTAAGAACATTTAACATTAAGAGCATTGAACATTAACCAGAAAAAGCAATAAAACGCAACTTGGACATAACATGAAACATGCTTTTTAACACTGCAAAAAACAAACTTTATGAAACATTATTCTGCAACAAGTATTCACCTCCTTTGCAGTGGAAGCTGTGCTGCAAGACACACCGGGCAAGGATCAGAGACCACCTGCTAGAGAAGCAGCAAAGAAGGTGAAACTTGTACAACAAACAGACCTTAACAACCTCTGCTGCTCACAGCTGCAACATTGCACACTGGCCTCAATGAATGAGGTTCAATCTCTTTAATACCCTAAGCATCTTTGCCAAGGGTTAGCTATGAGCAGACAGGGACATTTAAATAGTTAACAAACCCCAGGCAGCAGGGCGCTGAGCCCTTCTACTAGTTCAAACAGCAATACAAGAAAAACAAACAGAACTTAAGTCAAAACCCTGGAAATCCCATGCGTGGACACGAGAGATGGGAGAAAAAAATACTCAGACCTGAGACTCATACCCACTCTGAGTCCCCATGGGATGCCAAGGTAACTGGCATTGATTCTGTGTAAAGCTTGAAAATGGAGTGACAGTGTCAGAGGTGCTCTGGAAGTTGAAGGTGTCTTCTGCATCCACACTGACATCTGTATTGTCAAAGTAGCTGTGATACAAGTTCATTTGCTGGCTTAATAAACCCATGGTTTGCTGGCTATTGCAGCTTGACCCACCTTTTCCACAGAGCCCCTCATCCTCCACAGACACAAATGAGTACAGGTTCTGCCCATTCCCGTAAGTCTGTCCGCTGCTGTAAGCGTGGTGCACGTTGGGCACAGCCTGAAAATTCCCGCCGGCGCCGACAGGGAAGACATGGTGAAACGCCGGTGCTACATCCAGGTATGCAGCCTGATGAACCCCATTCTAGGAGACAAAGAAAGTCGTTCAGCAGTGCGGAACCACAACAACGGCCCATTTTTTTGGATGGGTCCTCCTTTTTCCCCCAGCCCTTCCTCCGAGCCGAGCAATAGCGCCTTTTTCATGCCCATTGTCCTCCCAATAGAACAGTAATAGCAGAGGTGAGCTGCTCTTCGGTTAGTGATCTCCAGCTCAGAGAGTCCAGGAACACCACACGTTGCGGGGAAAACAAACTTAAAGAGATACCACTGAAATCCCAATTTCTCTGTATTACAAGAAATACAATGGCTTGGTAATACCAAGTCCCGTGCATTGCTTGAATTAGCAGGTTGGACATGATACACTTCTCCCCACAGACTGGGGGAGCCGTGACTGGTGATGTGGAATTTTACGCACCTGTGGTAGATACATCCCGTTATCCAGCCACTGGCTCTCCTTCTGGCAGCGCTTAAATTTCATCCGTTGATTCTGAAACCATGTTTTCACCTAAAAGTGATGCGGAAAAGACATAAGAAATGAGAAATTAATTTTTAAGAGCTTACTACACATCCTTATTTCTGCTACAATCCGGTTTTTCTGATTTACTTCTAATAGTGTAAACTATTTCAGCAACTAAGAATGTGCAGCAGATGCAGGTGGCTGTGAAATCACAGAGCTGCGACACGAAAACGAGCATTCCTACTCATCAGATCACCACCCGATCTTTCCTGACTTCAAAATCCCTACCTAAAACACTGGCCCAAGGCAACTGCAGAAATCAGGTTGTATAGTACCATCTCTCTGCTGTGCCAAGGTCACTGCTCAGGACCCCAGGAATGGGTCATTTCTTTAGTCGGACACAAGCAGGTGGTAGAGCAAGGACCCTCTAGCGAGAGACCACGGTGCCACTGCGACCAGGAAAGGCCACCTGCATAGCAGTGCGGGTATCTTTCTACGATGAGACACAACACATGCCCATACAGAACAGTAACCTGACTCTGCATAGCCCTGCTTTGCTGCTCTTGCAGGCCCTGTCAAACACCTGCACGGAGTGGGTGGATAGTGCTGGAACCAAGCATAAGAAGATTGAGTCATAAATTTTCACACCCTCTGGTCTCTCACGTAAGCAGCAGCACTTCCAAGATAATGAAATAAACTTATCTCTGGGGTCCAAGAAAAAACGAAAACCACAAAAAAAGACCCCAACTCAGCTGCTACTCAGAGCAAGATGTTCACCTGCTTGTAGGTGAGCTCAAGGGCAGCAGCCAGCTCCCGGATCTGCTGGGGGCTGAGGTACTTCTGGCTCTGGAAGCGCTGGTGAAGGGCTTTCAGCTGCTCCTGCGAGAAGGCTGTGCGGCTCTTGCCCGTCTTCACCACACCCTTGCCGTGCGCCTTGACCTTCTGCAGAGACGAGTGGGGAGACGCGGTCCCCGCTGCAGTGGGGCTAGTGGCAGAGTCGGGGGTGTAGTACTGGGTGAGCGTCCCAGAGGTGGAAGAAGCTGAAGCTGGGGAGTCCACTGAGGAAAAGAGAAGCGCGGTGAGCAAAATAAGGCAGGGAAGACTCAAGAACCTGTAAAATCCGGCCTCTCGGGAGAATTTAAGATTGCGGATGCCCTGAGGACTCGCAGGGGCTCCCCAGCCGTGGGCAGCGCAGCGCGGGGAGGCGGGCACAGGCCGCTCTGTGGCCGCGGAACCGAG